CCTCTACATGGTAGCAGGGATTTCTAGAGTTCCCCACACACACACAAACACACACACACACACACACACACACACACACACACACACACACACGAGACCATGCACAGTAGTAGCAGTTGGGGGTGAAGGTAGGGTGGGAGGGGATCGAGTTCAGAATCTGAGCTGGAGGTTGAGAGAGGCCATTATATGTAAAGAGAAGGCAAGTATTGGTGTGCTATAAACTGCAGTTTACGAGGTATGATACTGGTTTGAAAAAAAAGGCAAAAATAAAGCGCAAAATTGTGGTACAGGAGGAAGAAAGCCCCACAAACAACACAGCGATCAAAAAGTCAAAGGACACAGCATGGGGGAGGGCTGTCCCATCCCTAGAATTGTGGGCAGCTTCCCTGGCGATGTCTGTCCCATGGATGCAACTGCAACTTGGCTCATCATCACTGCCACTGTCAGCCAGTCCCCCAGGAGCTACCCCCTTCCCTCCTTCTGGCATATAGCTCCCCTGCCAAGGCTCACAGTCGCCCCTGTAACCCCCAGCCTGCTGCTGAGACCAAAACGGGGAATGTGTCCTCCGAACGCCTGGATGTGAAGGTTGCACACATTAACGCACCCAAGGAAGACTGGAGACCCAATCAGAGTTAAAGAGATGGGGTGCCTAAGTGGGGAGGTTTTGGATAAGTTATTGATGGATAGTGGTCACTTGCCTGGAGTGCATCACAGGGAAGTGCCGCCCCAGAGCCTCTCCACCCGCTCCCTGCTCCCCGCTCCCCGCGGGCAGGTGGCACCCAGGGGTGCGACGGGAGAGTTCAGACACCCGCCCCCAGTCCCGCAGATCGTCAGAGAGCACCCGTTGGGTTTCAGGGCGGCACCTGCGGCATTTCAGCCTTGTCCCTGGGGCAGTGGCCCCGGGCGGGGCGGGTGGCCGGAGCTCCGCCCTCCTCTGGCCCAGACTCTTCAGTTCTTAACCCACGCGCGAGGGCGCCGCGGCCACTGGGCTCTGCAGAGCGAGCGAGTGGTCAGCGCGGAGCCGGAGGTGCGCGTGTCCCATCCCAAGGCCGACGCCAGCTCGCAGGCATGGCCCCCGCAGCGGCTTCGGGTGGCAGCTCCCTGCCCAGTGGCTTCTCGGTCTTCGTCACCTTCCCTGACTTGCTCTTCATCTTTGAGTTTGTGAGTGGTAGCGCGCCCTGCGCTGGGAAAGGGACTGGGTGGGATATGCTGCTCACTCCCGCGAGGGTTCTGCACCGCTGTCCCCGACCCCACCAGCAGCATGGAGGGGACCGAATCCAGAAAGTCTCCCCATCTCTCGGTGGTTTGTTCCTTTCTAAAATAGCGGATTGATCTCCCAGGCAGGTGCAAAGAAACTTCTTCCCCTAGCTCCGCTCCTATCGGAGCGCAGCTTCCTTACAAGGGGCCTGTTTTCCCCATCCAGAGTCCCTTTAAGTAAACAAAGCCAAACAAAGACCCCTCCATGCGACCGACAGAGATCTGGAACAGAAAGAAGCCAGGCTCTTCTGGCATTTTGAAGTTTTGGGGTAAGAGTTTGTCTCTGTGGCAAACTTAATCGGGGCGTAAGAAAAATAGTGGCTGGTGCTTGCTTGGCTGTGGTCCTTGCGCCCTGTGTGAGGAGAGGGAGGAGTGAAGTGAATTCTGTCGCCTCCCTTGGCTGACCTTGAGCTGGCTGCACCTGGGCTGGGTTCTCCTAGCCTTATACTCGAGAACCGCCCCCGTAGCTTGGAGAAAGTTTGCTATTGCGGGCTCCTGGTAAGGTGCTGAGGCTTCAGAACTCCTTTGGTTTCAAGTCCCCAGGGGCCTCTCGGGCTCACCTGGGCAGGAGGAGGGTGTTTGTTTATTCTGTGGTGTGGAGACAACATCTTCTGTGCACCCGCCGCACAGAATGCTTTGTGTGGGACATTGACTTGGATGAAAGAAAATGTAGGTGATTTTAACAACAGGATCCTGGCTTCTAACAACGCATGGTTAGGAAGGGAGAATGTGGACCAAAGACAGTAGGCGCCCTCATCCAGGGATGTCACTGAAATTGAGATGAGTGTTGAGTTGAACCCAACCTGGGTGTTTCTGAAGTGACTTCACACCCTAGGCATAACCAAGACCAAGGCTATGGAAGTAATATTTGTAAGAGACCCTGCACATCACGGAGCCAAGCTTCACACCTCACAAATGAGAGCACCTAGACCCAGAACTGGGTCAGGCTTGCCCAGGGTCATCTAGGTCCTTAGCAAGCCTTCCAACCTCCTTGAGTTCCTTCCATGGTCAGGGTTGCCAAGCAAGCCCTGGAGCAATGCCAACTGAATGGATTTGACACAGGCACCTGGCCATATGGGAAATCACCCCTGGGTGCTCTGGGAGTACTTGTCTTCATCCTCTCTTAGCCTGTGTTTGCCCAATATTGGGACCCAGGAATAAGCAATGGGTGACTCTTCAGAATTTTACAAAGAGGAACCCACAGAGGCTGGACCAAAAGAGAGCATGTCTCAGCCTGAGGGGTGA